AAAAAAAGAATAAATCAATGAGAAGCAATGAAGCAGGGTCAGATGAACCCAGGTCCTTTCCCAGCCAAAATCAAGATTTTCCATTTGTTATGAGAAAACCCCGTCCCATTAATGCTTTCTAACCTGCCACGAACCCTTGTCACACTCAACATCCCATTATTTCCTCCGTATCCTGTCGCCGCCTGAGCTGCAGCTGAAAAAGGGCCAAACCTCCAGCAGAGATTGATGCAGCTCTTGGCTTGCTGCCGGCAGAAGTTTTACCCTGAGATGTTAAAGAAACCGCTGCACACGGCTCCATTAAAGAGATGCTGTGGATATACTGGTTTGGGTGGTTTTAGCACTGCTAACTTCCGCAATAAATTAAAAATTAATTCGTAGTCAATAGGCTGCTCCTGCTCAATTTGCACAGAGTCTCTGTATTTCCCCAAACGAGCCCAGAACTTCCCCTGAAACGTATTATTATGAAAAACACTGATTTTTTAGAAGCCACAGATTAATTCATCCCAACCATCCCATTCCTGGTGCTGTATTTCTTTCTTTTCCTGGCTTTGGCTTTTAGCTAGCCCACTGAAGAGTGTTTAAACCAAAGCAAGGGAATCAGGAGCCATCTATGCATTCACACGAGGAATAAATACGCCTGTGGATTGTGGGAGAGAGGTTCGACAGGCTTCCTGACCTTAATCCTGCCCCCCTTATTTAATTTTCTCCTCCAGAAATTTATATGCATGCCTACGCGGCGCAGCCAAAGCGCCCAGCACAACCCATTTCCCCGCCAGACAGAAATGACTATTTTTTTTTTAACATAGTCTAGCCAGATGGATAAACAAGCATGTGGAGCATCGGGGTGGAAATCCTCTTTATGGCCAGATGTTCTCCGCGGTCCGGGGGTCGGAGCATCTCCGGGACAGCCATACCTGGCCCAGCTATTTCGGGCAGCAAAACCTCACGAGGCTTTTGGCTAGATCATGTGGCTGTGCCAAAATCAGCCTCAATGCAATTAGTTTCAAGCTTCGTTTGCATCTCCCACCCACCACGCAAGCATCCTGGGTTGCTCTGGGCTCAACCTGTTTATTACAGCCCATCCTAACCCTAAAAGACGGGGAATAATTCCCTATCCTGGTCTTTAGGTCACATATACCCTCACTCTCCGAAAAAGGGTGCCGTGAAAACCCCAGCTTGCTGTGAGCAACCCATATAAATTTTTAATTGCCTTCTGTGGCGTTTCCCCCTGTTAAATATCAGGGCACCTCAACAGAAACGGTGACCGCTCTGTGCAGGAGTGAGTTTTACTCCTCTGGAGCGAGACAATCTCAGAAGACAGACTCATCCCTTCCCCCGTAGGTCTGAGTCTTTTATTTTCTATCCATCAACGTGCAAAGCATCTCTCTCTTTCGTGGGATAATGGATTTGGAACCACAGCCGCCAACAGCTAAAAGCATCCTTTCCTCTCCCAGAGCCTTGAACCCCGAGATTTCCAAACCAGCCCCAAACCCTGCTGATCCCATCAATATTTCTTCAATAAACCACCCAAACGCTGCAATTTTCCAGCCACCCATTCGGTCACCGATGTTGCCTCCCACGTCTGTATCTGCCAGGAGGGATGGGGCGGGAGGGGGAACCCAAATTTTGCGGGATGCTGGCCACAATATTCCCTAGGGAAGGAGGACGAGTGCTGGCCAGGCTGTGCAGGGCTGGGCTGCGCAGGAGCCAGCTCCTCCCTCTCGCTATTTATTCCTCCCCATAGCTCTGCGGCCGAGGCTGGATCACCACAAACCGAGCAAGCAGCGGGCTCCCAGCTGGTGAGTGGCGGGGAAACGGGACAAATTTTGCGGGATGCTGGCCACAATATTCCCTAGGGAAGGAGGACGAGTGCTGGCCAGGCTGTGCAGGGCTGGGCTGCGCAGGAGCCAGCTCCTCCCTCTCGCTATTTATTCCTCCCCATAGCTCTGCGGCCGGGGCTGGATCACCACAAACCGAGCAAGCAGCGGGCTCCCAGCTGGTGAGTGGCGGGGAAACGGGACACGGGGGGGGTTCGGAGGGGGTAAATCCAGAGGTGAGGGGGCTTTTAACACCAAGCAGCATCACGGGAGATGGGGGGCTGCCTTCTTCCCCCGCCATCACCGCCTAAAAATAGACGACACCAGCTCCGAAGGCGAGCGTCCTCCTTAAAAGACAGAGCTCTGCTTCTCGCCGCTGCTTGTTTATTCAAGGGCTTATTCAAAGCCGACGCTGGTGAGGAATTTCTTCCCCACCCCAGATCTACCTGGAGGGTTTTGTTCTTCCTCGCAGCTCCCAGCTGCACAGCACTGTGCTCCCCCGTTATTCAGGGGGGGTAAAAAAAAAAATAAAAGGGGGTGGGGGATTGTTAAAAACTAGGGGTGGCATTTTCAGAAAGCAAACGACCAGCCTGCAGCCCCCTTCCCCATAGCCCCAGCCCTCAATTTTTATCCCCCACAAGCCAGGACCTTCCCAGCATCGCCAGGAGGGTCCGGACAGCCCCATTCCTGAGCATCTTCCCACCTTCCCCACTGCACCGCTCCTCCACCTTCCCCTTCCCCACCTCCCTTCATTTCTGCTCTACCCCCGGGCACCTTAACGAGGATTTGTCCGCAGTTATTTTGGCACCAGGGTGTTGGTTTTCCTCTCCAAACCCGAAGCCGCCTTCTTGCCAGCCCTGCGCACGTAATTGCTGCTTGCGATCGCTCCTCGCATCCTCCATTTTCCACTTCCCCTCCTGCCCTGAAGGAGTGCTGGGTTTCCTCCGGTTCTCCAGCACAAGCACGGGCATACACCGCTCCGGTAGAAATCATCTGAATTAATTTCTCACTGCCTACCTTCTCCGGCAGAGAGGAAGAACTGGGGAGGAAGGTTAAAGGCAGTCAGGAAAAAATACTTTCAAAACCATTTGATAACATAATTTAATAATAATATTATGGTCACACCATAAATTTTATTTCCAAGCAGAGGGAACCCAGCTCTATGCCCGAGAAAGTTGCGTCTCAGTCCCCGCTGCGTGTGGGGGGGGGTTTGGGCCAGCGACCGCATTTGCTCAAGGCAAAGCTCAGCCGCCCGAGGAGCTCGGTAATTAGCAGCACAAACGCAAACGAGCATTTACCCTGTTTATCAGAGCTCGTCTCTCGTCTCTGCGAAGGCAATTAGAGGAACAGGTCGGTTCTGCCAGGCTGGAATATCCTCCAGGGCTTTGCCGTAACCTGTTTTCATCCAGGGGCTGATATTTCCCCGCTTTGCAACTCGCTGCGGGGAGTCACACGTCTTCCAATAAAATGAGGCCAATTTGCTGCTTTTCCCCCTTCTTTCCTTTTTTTGAGCGCCCAAGGAGCGTTTGCCCATCTGAGTTTTTGTCTTTCGGCTATTTTTAACCCCTCTGATCTCATCCTCGCGCGCTCCCAGTGGGTGGATGCTGCTGGGCAAGGGAGGGAGCAAACCCGCTCGAAAGTGGGTGGCTTGCGCCCAATTTTTTTACGAGACGGTGCCGAGCAGGCAGCCCAAGCCTGGCTTTCCTCCCTGTCACAAGGGACGGGCTCTTGCATCTTCCCTGCTCTTTTAACTAAGCCTCTAGCTAATGACCTCAACCAAAACACGGACGTTAAAGGACCTTAATTCAAACATTTCCAGATGTAAAACCAGATTTTTTGCTCGGGGAGGGGGGAGGAGAGAAAGAGCATCATTATCTGAACCCAAAGAGAGATTAATTTGCTTTTTGTGGCCCATGAAACCACAGCTAACGTTCAACAGAAGAATTTCTGGCCTAAACAGGGGTTTGTTCAGTGCCTGTTTGCACCGCTAAGGACAGATCTCGTGAGAAAGAGTCATCACTTCTCTGCATTAAACTTATCTCTGGCTCGAGTGGTGACTCTTAAGGAAGCTGTTCTACTAGTTCCTGCAAAAAAACCCTCTCGAGACCCAAACCTCAATTGTTTCTGGCTGTAACATGAGTCAGAAAGCACAAATGGAACATCCAAGGATGCTGCAAAATGCCCACCTACACTTTGCCGGGAATGCTTCACTTTCCCTCCCCAGCATCCTGGCACGCGTGGGGAGATTTTTGGGAATAGCTCAGCCTCGAGCAGGACAGAAAAACCCTTTGCTGGACTCTCATATTCCTGGGCTCTCGTATTAAACACGAGGGTAACAGTAATTCAATGCTCCTTGGCATTGCAGGGAGGCATCTGAAGGGATTTTGCAGCTTGGGAGGTGTTTTCCAAAGGTCTTTCCAAAGGATTTGCAGACCTGGGGTGTATTGTACAGGCTGGATTACACATAGGGAGAGAAACGGCTCGTTAAAATGGGATTTCATCCTCGCCAGGCCACGGGCTAACGTAGGAGACGCCTGGCATGCCCCTGGGATGCCAGCAGCAAAATGCTGAGTAAGAAGATATTTGTGAACACATTAAACTTGAAAAACGCTGTTCTTCAGTTCCGGCCTGGTGCACATAAACAGGGACTTGGGCAAAACATGTTGAACTTCGTTCTTGGGGGAAAAAACCTCCAGGGCAAGGCTGGGGACTGCCCTCCTTGCAGCCCCAGGTACCCGAAAGCTTTGAGACTGGGATGAATCTGCTCATAGCCATCAATCCTTACCCATCAGAAATCTCATTTATATCATTAAATTGGATGGAGCAGGTTTGATAAGTAGGTTTTTACCTCCCAAGTGGAGCATTTTTCCCTGAAGCTTTTCTTCTGCTACTTAAAATTGCCATGACCAGCAGAGGACCTGTTGGGGAGGTGGAGGATGTAGATACACATGTCAATAAATATAAATATAAAAATATTTTTAAAAATATATCTAAAAGTAAGGGGTTTGGGGGAGAATAAATACGCATTTAAGTCCAAAGCTGTTCGTTCTGCAGCTGGATTAACAAGGACGACACATGTTTTATACGACAAGGAAGCCTAAAGCCCGTGGTGGCGCAGATGTAGGGGCTGGGGGGGTCTCTGCCTCCTGCCCGTAACACTGCCTGTCCTTGTGTCCCGCAGCCATGGCCCGGCTCCTTGTCACCTACTGCCTGGTGACCCTGCTCCTCAGCGCTTGGACCGACGTCGCCTTCTCCAAGAAGGGCAAAGGCAAACCCAGCGGAGGCGGCTGGGGCACGGGAAGCCATCGCCAGCCCAGCTACCCCCGCCAGCCCAGCTACCCCCCAAATCCCGGCTATCCCCATAATCCAGGGTACCCCCACAACCCCGGCTACCCTCACAACCCGGGGTACCCCCACAACCCAGGGTACCCCCACAACCCAGGGTGGGGCCAGGGTTACAACCCATCCAGCGGAGGAAGCTACCACAACCAAAAGCCGTGGAAACCCCCCAAATCCAAGACCAACTTGAAGCACGTGGCTGGGGCGGCGGCGGCAGGCGCCGTGGTGGGAGGTTTAGGGGGCTACGCCATGGGGCGCGCCATGTCGGGGTTGCACTATCGCTTCGACAGCCCCGACGAGTACCGATGGTGGAACGAAAATTCGGCGCGTTACCCCAACCACGTTTACTACCGGGATTACAGCAGCCCCGTCTCGCAGGACGTCTTCGTCGCCGACTGCTTTAACATCACGGTGACCGAATACAACATCGGACCCGCCGCCAAGAAGAACGCCTCGGAGGCTGGTCCGGCGGGGAACCAAACGGAGACGGAGATGGAGACCAAGGTGGTGACGAAGGTGATCCGGGAGATGTGCATCCAGCAGTACCGCGAGTACCGCCTGGCCTCCGGCATCCGGCTGCATCTCGCCGACGCCTCCCTCGCCGCCCTCCTCCTCCTCGTCCTCTTTGCCATGCACTGACGCTCCCCGGATCCCACGGCTTCGAGATGTCACCCGTGTCCCCATGGGGACCCCCCAGACCCTCCCCGTTCTTGCTTGCGGTCGTCTTTGATGAAGAGCCCTTGGGGCGCACAGGCACCGACGCTCCCCGTCACCTCCCTGGAGGCTCTGGTTTAGGCAACCGGATGAAAATTCCCTTCTCCACCCCAAAATGAGTCCCTGGCACGGCAGGACAGTGATGGAGCTGGATGCCCCCCCAAAAAATGGCCTTCACCACCGCCACCTCTTCCTTGGGGCCACCCCAAGAGGCATGGGGCAGAGAGGAGCTCACTGGGTCCTTGGCATCCCTGTAAGGGCGTTTCCAAAAATCCTCTTTGCTAACAAGCAAGGTTTTACCTAATCCCCTTAGTCCCGCTGCCACCAAAACCCCTTTCCCCAGGACACGCCGCAGCGTTGCCCCCGAGCACCCACCTACCCCACAGGGGTTTTAGGAGGCTCAGATATGGGTTTTTCAAGCAACAAGCTGCCGGGTTGCAATTTTAATCCTTTAATCCTAAAAACCACCCTTCCTTGTATACACACAGACCTGCCCGCTCCGCACCCTGCACGCTGCAAATACTTCCTGCAGCAATACACAAAAATAAAGTGATTTTTTTTTCCCCTCCTCTCAGCAAGGCTGAAGCCCCGGCTGGGTTTTGGTTGACCCCCACGCCGCTTCGCTTTTGTTTGAGCCTCGCTGTCTTTCGTGGCCTGTCTAAAGGCAAAAAGTGCTGCTGAATGCCCCCCAGAAAACCCCCAAAGCAGTAATGCTTGGTGTGTTACAGGCCAGAAAAAGCTATTTGGGATGCGCTATAGGTGACAAGTCACACTCACACTTCAGCACCTTGACCTAAAGGACGTTAAAACACAGCAAAAAAGGATGCTCGGGGGGGGTCAAACACGTAGCAACAGATTTAATCAGCTAAATCAGATGGTTATGGCAAACAGCGTCAGGAAAATCAAGCCTGAGGGATGGGAGATGCTTAAAAAACCCACCTTTTGCGAGTAATTTGTGGAAGCGGCAGGCGAAAATCTTGCTCTTCTCGTGTTTGGGTCGCCGCTGGGTTTTGTATAATCTTTAGCATCTGTAAAGTTGCGCTTGTCAAACTGGTCGCTCCGAGTTATATTTAATATCTCTCGTGTATTTTTTTTGCAAGGCACTGAATGACACAGTCTTAAATAATTTTTTTGCATCGATATAAGCTAAGTGAAGAGATATATATAGAGATATATATATATTAAAAAACAGAGAAAAGAAATCTTCCAGGATATTCACCGGAAAAGCAGGGCTTTGAGGTAACCCGAACTTTGTGATACGCGAATGTTTTGTAAATCCGTAACGGTGCATGCACAGAATTTGCCGTTCCGAGACTTTTCTAAGTGTTCGACGTCTGGTACAAATTAAAACCGATAAAGCCAAGACGCACGTCAGCCTCCTTCGTGCAAACAGCTCTCGCCCATCCCCGTAGCGCCGCAGACAGAAGCGGCATTTTTCGCCTTGGCTGCCCCAGCCTGTGGGCGCCTTTGTTCCCTTTCAGCGCTAAATTTGGCCTAAAACCCACAGTTTCAGTTAACCTTTTCTCCTCCCTGGCTCCCACTGACGGTATTGCTACCGTGCAACAGCTGTTTCCTGATAAAGCCAATGCCCTGGGAGGGGTCAGGGATTTCTTCTCCCCATAGAAAGTCAACACCCATTTATACCTTGTATTTACTCCATCTATTTTCTGTCTAATAAAAGAGTTTTTACAGTTGCTGTTTCAGTGGCGTTAAGCCCGACCAACTTCACGTGAAGCCCCAAGCCCCACTTAACATTGCCAAAACTCCAAATCTCCCCGGTACCTAAACCAGCATCACCGTTAGAGGACTTAGACCATAGCAAGGGTTAAAAATTACAACTGAAAACCCAGAAAAGTTTGGACCCTTCAGCTGGACAGTGCTTTAATTTTAAGCTCAAGACCAAGCCTCGGACCTGTTTGGTTTGAGCCTGCGCAGGATGTGACTTACTGCGCTGCAGACCCCCCCCGCCCACAGGAATTTGGTCCTTAAGTGGTGCTCCAGGTAAACCCCAAATGTGACTTGCATAATTTTGGCAGAAAAATACAAGAAAAAAAAACCTTTTCAGCACTAAATAGACGATTATTCCTGCTAGCAAGCAGCTTGCTCACGAAGAGCAAACCCTAAGAGGTCTGTAATGAGGATCCAGAGCTCCCTGGTGCCCGGAAAGAGGGAAATAAAAGAGTTTTTCTGCTTGAAGTTGGCTCCTGGGCATCACCACCTTAGCTCTGAATAAGTGGAGCAGCAAATAGGGAGTGGGGCAAAAAAAAAAGAGATGCCAGGCAAGGTTTCGTATTGGGAGCTAGTTTCCAAAATGAGGAAAATAAAAATAAAATGTCAGGATCCTCCAGCTCACATTGCAAAAGCAATTTAAAAAATGGTGGTGGAAAGGAGGAGTTGGGGAATAAAAAGCCCCCGTGAGGTTATTGGGTCTGTCCTAAGCATCCCCGCGGCCGCTGCTCAGCCTTCACCAACTCAGCATCCAGCTGCAAAACTCTCCAGCCCCAGAGAAGCTGAGAGTTCTCATAACTGAGTATCTCAGAGGTTTCCCCATGTCATTTAAAGGTGGGGGAGGGGGCAAATAAATGCAAGACCCCCCCAAAGTCCCCAGCTCCGCTGCCCTGTGGGGAAAGTGCTCCACCTGTCCCCGAGCTACAGGGGGGCCCAGGTGATCAGGGCCATGGGGAGGTTTGTGCAACCCTTCTTATTAATTAGGATTTTTTTCAAGGTAAACCGGGTGATTTCAAACTTAAAAGAGGAAAAGGTGACAATGAAGATATGGGCCTTTAGTGGTGGGCTCAGAGGACCCTTCCAAGAGACCTCACAGGGGTGAGCTGCAGCGTAGTGGTAGGAGGAAAAAACGCCAGTGAAGAAGGGGAGGAAAAAAAACCACAACAAAGAAAGGAGAAAAAAACAACAATGAAGGAAAAAAACAGCAAACAAGGAAATACACACACACACAAAGATGGAACCCCCTCTAAAAAAAGTAGGACACTCCCCCCCCCAAAAAAAAAGGGAAAAAACCCCTCCAGATACACCCCCAAAATAGAAGGGAAAAAAAGAAATCAAAAGGAGAAAAAAAAACCCAAAGAGAAGACAAGACCAAAAAAACCCAAAAGAGAAGGGAAAAAGCCCACCAAAAGAAGGAAGGAAAAAACCCCAAAAGAAGGAGGGGAAAAAAAAAAAAAAAGAAACCCAGAAGAACAAACACAAAGAAGGGAAAAAAACCCCAATGAAGAAAGACCACCCACTCCCAAACAAAGAAGGAAAAACCCCAAAAAGACGGAAACCCCCCATTTTCTGGGGTGAGCACGTGGCTGTTGCCAGGGAGGGGCTGGCAGCCGCAGGGAGGGTTTGACCTCAGTGGGCAGCAGCACAAAATGCCAATTTTTAGCTCTAACCCCCCCCATCCCAGCTCAGGGAAGCTCCGCCGAGCTCCAAGCCCCCCATCTCCCCCTTCCCCGCACACGCAGCCCCCGAGGGCTTCGTCACCCGCGTGAGGGCCCGTGGGGTTATTTTTTTTTGGAGCCGCTCGCTCGCTGCCGCGGGGTCGGTGGGGGATGTCGGGGCTTACCTGGCTCTGAGGGTGATCGGGGAGGACGTGGGGACGCGGCCCAAGCCCTCGTGTGCCCTGTGGATGGTTGGATCCAACAACCCTGGAGCCCCCCTGGGCCCTAGAAGGGGGCTGTTGAACCAGATCAATTAATCACTCTGTATTAATTACCAAAATACTCCAAATCCTGCTGCGCGGGCAGGAGCCTTGCTGCCAAGCAGGGATGGGAAGGTTTCTGATTTACCAGGCTGGTAATAAATACACCCCAAAGTACAAAGGCAATAAAATTTGGGGCATCGGTTACTTCTACTCTCCTCCAAATTGCCCGTCCCTGCGGCGCTTCGCATCCCTCATCTCCGCAAACAAACATCCCCCCCCCGCAGGCAGAGCGGCTGAATATATTTTTCTAGCCTGGAAAAAAAAACCAAACAACGCAAAAAGAGGATTTTTTCGTGGACGGCTGGACAGTTTGCGAAGAGCTGGAGGAGAAAGACTCGTGTTTGGAGGCTTCAAATGCAAAGCAAGTGCCCACAGCTCATGTGGGGGTGATTTTATCCCTGCGGCTGAGCCGGTGTTGGGGGTGACAGGAGATGCATCGCCGAGCCGACAGCACCATCTCCCGTCTGAGCCCAGCCCCGGCTCCCAGGATCAGCCCAGGGGATGGTTTTGCAAGGCGGGGTCTCCCAAAGAACCTTCCAAAATTAGGCTGAGCTTTGAGGCCAGCCACGCTGGAGGCCGGCGCTCGCTCGGTCGCTGTTTCAGAGCAAAAGGCATGAAACCGCCTTGATTTTGCCCACAACCGCTCGCCTAGAAAAACACACCTCCGAGGGATCTCGGCATCACAGCTCCCCAGCACAAGGTGATTAACGAGGACGTTAATCGCTTTTAAAGCCTTTTCCTGCAGCACAGCCCTTTGCAAGGGGTGGAAATTAAATCGAGGGGGGACATCGTGTCCCTGTGTGTTACATGCTGAAAAACCAAAAAAAAAATTGGGAATACAGCATAGGAAGTGCGGGATCATCCCTGTGGCGTTTCTGAGCTCAGGCTGCAAATTAGGGAGCAGCGGATGCTCGTGATGGGGTCTGGACATTGAAGCATAAGCCAGGCAGGTCTGGAAGCAAAATATATGCTGGATAAATGTAAACGTGAGCCGTGGGCTGGAGTTTCTGCCAGGTTTATTGTTTGTTTTAAACAAGCACATTAAAAAAAAAAATAACCCCTCGGTGCATTATAGGAGTAGTTGGATTTGTTCAACCTGAAAGTTGTCCCTGAGCCAGGGGAGAGATCACGGTGATTTGAAGAGCTGTAAGAGCATCAGCCTGGGGGGCATCCCCCGCCTGCCTGCTCCAAAACTGCTCTTAAGTCCCTCAGGAGC